ATATTACTTTTAAGTTATAACCCATATTATGTGCACCTAACAAAAAAACTGTCACTACAATATTTTTGTAATTGGAATTTATTTCCGTAAATAAAAATAAAAAATTATTATTATTATTATTAATTATATGCTTTGACTTTTAATGATCGATTTCCAATACACTTTAACGTGCATAATTTAAATTTTTATTCATTTATGGGATTTTTTTTATCCATTATGACATGTACTTACCTATACAAATCAAATTTAAAATTTATGATCAACTTTCAATGTGTCAAAAAATATTGTCTTTACCTACGCGTAGTATACAGATTTTAACGATTTGATATTGATTTCGTAATGCTTTCAATCACGTAAATAATAATCGAAATAAATTATTTATCTGTAACCTACACAATATACACATGCTCTGTGGAAAATTATTTAATTATCTGCAGTGGTGAACTCGGTGACGAGTAGTCTGCAGTTGATTACAATAAAACAATAATACAATACAGTACCGATAATATAATATAGTGAAGACGAAAAGACGAAAGGCAAAATCGTTATAATAATTATAGTTATAATAGGTAGTCGTATTATAACTATATTATGTATTTATTAAACAAAAATTATATTTTGTATGACACAATAATCCGAGCCCCGTTTGTTGTTTCGTCGTCCAGTCCGTCCGTCTGCTCGCGTGTAGAGTGTAGATGTTTCGAAAAGAAAAAGAAATCTTTATTATTTTGTCCTATACCTATAATATTATTATAACACGCGTATCTGTGTCTTCGTAATTATTGTATATAATATTAATTATTATAATTTAATATGTTCGTCTCGGTGGTGATGGAGGCCACAGACACGTCTTTATTTTCCGATGTAATCAAGTACTGAGGTAAAAGGCAAGGTATAATAAGGCAAGAATAAGGCGTAAAGTTTAAATTTATCGTGCCCATATTTAAAAATTAAAACCAGGACTAAAATCATTAATATAATTGTTTTATTTTTAACTCGTAGCTATTAGGTTCATAATTTTTAATAAAATTAACATCAACATTTCGTCTATAACACTATTCGTGCACTTTTTATCATTCATTTTGACGTTGATTGTTCTGATTGTATGCGTGTCAATTACATGCGTAATTTTCCATGTATTTCCGGGGAACTTATTGGTTGTGATATACCCCTGCGTGATTTGTAGCGATTATACTTACTTAAATCGATCGTGTTCACGAAAAATTGATTTTTATCATCGGTCCGACAACGTTTTATCAATTGACGACACGTTTACAATTTTGAGGCTAGCCATTGATAGTATGTTTAGGAACTCTAAATTGGTAACATGTATTGATATATATATAATATAAGAACCTATGTCCTATACCTATAAAATATACATCTGCATATCTGCATCAACGTCTGCGTGCGTGCATAATAATATATTATAATTGTGTTCGTCTCGGCGATGGCGGACGGACACGGTATAGTCTTCCTCTCCGACGTGGTCCCCGAATACCTAAGGCGTAAAGTTTATATTTATCGGTCTATTTTTACGGACCTGCGTGCACCGGCGTCGCGCGCGCGAGTTCACGCACACACGGACATGGTCGTGATATCCGCGCGTACGAATATAATCAAGGAGAGGAATATATTCATAAAAGTTTACACGAATCATCCGTCGGTACTCCCGTGATTTGAGTCGACCAAATACGCATGCCACGGGTGCGTTGAACGATCGTCACTAACCACATATAATATTATTTAAATATTATCATTATCATTATTATTTTAGCAGCGCCGACAGTTTTTTTGATATTTTATAGTGCACCGACGAAAATATAAACGCAGCAGATCGATTATTATTCCGCCGAAAACGTAAATCGTACGGTTTTTGTTTTTTATTTTCATCGACGCGAATTGCTCTCCGACGTGCACACAATAATAATARTAATAATAATACTCCTCATCATCATATATACACGCGCGGATATACACCACACACGCGGACGTTGACATTGACCGAGCGATTAAACAATAATAATTACAATTATTATGAACAACAATAAGAAAATCCCATCCATTCTTAACGTCAACGTAAGTACCTACTACAATCTAGTATTATGAGTGCACACTTTGTGAATAACTTATATACATAACATATAACATTGTACCTAAGTTTATAACACGTGCATATAGATTGGTTGGGTACATTAAAAAAAAAAAAAAATAATGTACTTAGGTACGACCTGAATACATATGTCCTATACTAACCAACCATGATGGTAATGGTAAATAGATACCCAATATTTTATATTACTTATATTATGTGTCTTATATATATATATACGTTCTTATCAATACAACTATTGTTGTATTGTATTTTGTCGTCACTAAAAAGTAAAAACGAGCAACAGTTATAGTATATTAGTATATACCTACSTTATTATGTATGTTTTCATATTATGAATATGTAGCAATAATAATATGTCCACCGACTACCCAGTACCTTCCTCCGCCTATATTAATATGCCCAAGCCAATCGTGTTCGTGTTTTCGTATTGAGTCGTGTGATTTTATTGCGTTTCGAATTCCGCTGACGCGCGACGGTACTCGTCGTCTGATGATATTTTTTACGTGTGCACTTGTACGTCGTTGTTGAATATTCGATTTTAACATATTATATCGTGTTTCATAAGAATGTACCTACTTCACCTAATGGCTAATGTCTAACGATATTATTATGATTCAATATATGTATATTGGATATTATATTATACCATACCTACTATAGTAGTAAGATATGGCTGTATGGGAAGATTTTGAAATCTTATAATCGAAACACTCTGTTTATCAATAATAATATTATTCATTAGTCATTGTATAGTATAAACCTACAACTCTACAAGTTTAAATCACTGATTAAGTATATTACTTTATGTATATTTATCTATACTATTATATTTTAATATTTTATTCAATTATTCAAATAATTTTCATTAAAATGTTTGAACACTATTAACATTTTGACTTTTTAGTCTTTTTACATTTGAACTTTGRACGTATTTATTAATAGAATTAATTGGAAAACAACTATAGATATTAAAATATTTCTTTTATGCTGAGAAAAAACACAACGGTTGCTTTTTTTACATCGAACAATAATATTATAATATACAGATTCAACCTGGCATACAATTTTTGAGAAAAACAAYATTATCTTGCTTATAGTCTATAATTAATTTAGGATATACCTAGGTAGAAAATATTTTTTGTAGCTTGAGTAGGTACTGTTAAATGGGATGTTACCTGTAATTTGTTAAGAAAATTAGTTAGTATATTATAAATTATAAACAAAACATGGTTAAAAACGATATAATACCTATATTTCTAACAAAATTTATTTAATATCGATTAATAGCAAATAGCTCACGAGTTATAATACGTTCTCAAAATTCAGTTAACATAATATTTTCGTTTAATTTTCCTACTGATTAGATTAACGCACAATAAACATTTTATCAAGTAAATATAAAATTAATGTAAAATTGTCAATTATTGCAGTCACTACAAAATCTAATGAATTTGTTTGATGCAGTTATAAACTTATAAATGATTATTATTATTAAAATCAGTACAATTATTTATTTAAATAAAACTATATAGTTACCTACGAACAAATGCAAATTCTTAAATGTGTGAATCGCTTAATAATTAAAATATACCTTCCTAATTTAAATTAACTATATTTAATTAACGGTACAGTACAGACTTAAGATTAATAAGATTAATTTTTCGTTGTTTTTTGAAATACTGGGAGGTAAATGCACACTTGTGTACCTACTTATATATAGCTTGGCATGACACGCGTGGTATGTTATGTAGCTGTTAATCACAAAGTAATTTTTTCAAGTTCTCTTTAGCCTAGCTTTAGTTCACAGCTGTTATAATATACTGTTATATATCTAGTCAAGATTTGCTAAAGATTTTATTAGTATWATTATGAGTTATGACTCTCTAATTCGATGGTAATAGATAATCTTCTATAAATGTATACAAAAAAAATATAGTAGGGATACTGGACACTGGTTAGTTCTTGAAGAAGATGAACGTATATAACTCAAAAGTTACATAAACAGTTTTATCACATTTGTTTTATCATTAGGTAGGTACCTACTGTGCGTGGCAAAATATATTGATACCTTTTYTACTTACCAGCCATGTTTATTTAAAACGTATTGATTTATTGCCGAGACTTAGTAGCAATAGTAGCCTTGATGCGTTAGTGTTTGTTATGTTTCGTTCTAATGGTTTTATGATTCCCACGCAAGATTATATTTACCCTCAAGTAGTGGCAGTTAACCCGGTGAAATATGTGATACCGTGACGTAGGTATACACTATACATACTATAGATAGGTACTTACATATTAAATTATATTGAACCAACTGGGATATTTCGACTTATGTTACATTGTCAATAAACGCTTGTAATACGTGTTATATTGCTAATGTTTTGGTAAGCCTTTAATTAAATAAAGTTGACACTATCATAATAATATCATTCAAACAAATTTTATTATAATTATTACATACAACTTAAGCTGCATATAAATAGGTACATATATGGTAATATAGATACCAACATAATAATATTAATAAATAAGGTTATTTTTTTAATTTATAACTTTATAAATATACCATAATATACTATATATTTACTCAGTTTTATGTAAAAATTAATTTAGCAATACAAATGCACAATATGCATATTGTCTCATAATTTATCGAGAATAATAATATCATAATACTTATTATAGTTGTATACACGGCATATCATATATATTATAATATTTCGATCTTAGAAAGATATTATCATTTGAAAAAAATAAAATTTAAAATATTACCGCATATAAAACTAAAACGAAAATCCTTAAATCTCCGTCTGCACAAGCTMAGACAACTACTCYGCTCTAAAATCTCACTTGAAAACAAAATGTTAATTTATAAACAATTGATACGCCCGRCAATGACGTATGGCATCCAATTATGGGGCTCTACAAAAATCTCTAACCTGAAAATATTCCAAGCTTTCAATCCATATACCTTCGTCTCCTCACAAACGCCCCATGGTATGTAAGTAACAGATCCCTCCCCGTCATCTCAAACGAAAATGGCCACGTGATTTCCTAACCAATTAACTGAAATTATATATTATAAATACATTTATGTATTTTATACAATTAAATTAAATTTAAATTTTAAGTTCATATTGGAAATAGTGTCAATGGACTCTCAATTAGTACCTAATCAAACAATACCTACTAGATAATATCAATAATTATGTTTAACTTTATTTCTTTACAACTTGCAAGTAGCAAGTTAGTTGGGTTATTGATATGATAATTAATGGAACATAATATTGACAGTAAAATATTTCATTATATTTTATTTTATTTTTATAATAAAATATCTATATTTAAATAAACTTTAAATGAGAATATAAGAAATATTACAGAACTACTTTTTAAAGTAATAATATCGTTCGAAGATCTTTCTAGTTTATATACTATTTATAAAAAAATACATATTATTATAAAATATAAACAGTATTTTAATATACCATTTTCTAATGGTTTTGAGCACGTAGAAATATTGTACAATACAAATTCTCTGGAGAAATTAAGCGCAAAAAACATTAACAAGAAAAAAACGTAGTTAGTTTTAAATTATATTAGAATTGAATGTATTTTATAACCTGAAAACACGAAAGCGATTTTGTTCAGAAAAACTACCATGTTATTTAATACTTGCACCTAAAATTATATTTTTATAGCTTATTCCGTTTAAAATAGTAATTTAATGCTTGTAGATTTCATTTTTTTTTTAAAGTGGTTTGTGTATATACAATATATAGATTATAGGAAGATACTAGATATACTTTTACAAATATTATCAAATATATGATTGAATCATTATAGATAAATATTAAAACTAATGCGAAATAAATTCTGTATAGGTAGTGTCTATAATATTATTTATTATTTATTTCAAAATTAAATATATCATTAATTTATTGTGTGCCTATTTGCATTTAAGTTTTACATGTTTTAATTTATTTATTTTTGATGATTTTATTCAAATTTAGGTTAATTTGTATTTGATGAGACTAAAACATCTAAATATTGATTATATTATACCTCATGTTTTTGAATCATCTGCAGTGTATCTAATTTTGGAATGTTGGAAAACAATTGCCATTTTGGCTCGGAAATACGTTACTGTTAATAAGCGACGAATGATGCTGCAGTTCTGACATTTAAGTGTATATATTATTTTAATAAAGCTCGTTAAACCATGTCATCTACAAATAAAACGAGATTATCCGTTATTATATTTCCTCATGAAATAAAATTGTTCATTTGTTGTTTTTATTTGATTTCATTTAAATTTTCTCTTTTTTGATTAAATGGAAAATTTACTMTGCAAAAGTATTTTTATACTTCTATACAGTGACTCTGGACGAAATCCAATTGTATCTACTCACAATATGGTACTAAAAGTAAAAAATACAATATCATATATTACCTATATTSTACACAAAATACAAATGTATGCTAGGTGAATCKAGACGCAACTGTGAATTACCACTCGTATGTCCTATTTGACCTTTGAATGTTATGTTAAGGAAATCAATAGTTTCCACTAAAAGTAAACGCTGTTTTGTTCAGCGCAGAAATTTCGTAGAAAAAAATACTTTAAAGGTGAATAGATAATGTTTTATTAAGATGATATTAAATATTAAGTTTGCTCTAGATATATATGTTTAAGACACGTAGGTAAAGTTGTAATTAATGATATTAAAATATATTTAATRCCTATTATAATATCGAAATACTTATCTACCAAAAATGTATCAGGTTTATTACTATTAAAATAAGGGTTTATTGCAAAAATATTATCAATGTTTATTGCTTCAAAAGGTTGGCAATCTGGTTATACAATATCTATAGTTTTTATTTCCATTTCCGAGTGTATTAAAAATCATATCTGCGTGCGTGTTGAGCTGCGAACAACTGTCGCCAAAATATATTATAT